AACATTGTTCCAAACAATCTAGCTCTTCCCTGGTCACTCAAAAGTTGGAGGCAACAACGATGGATCAAAGTAGACTACCTTTCTTTGTAAGAGGGGCTAATTTGCTAGCTTTGCTCTGGCTGTCAGGAGATGATTGATGTCTAATAATTTAAATAAACCCAGGAAAAGCAACTTGAATTAATAAATTGGGTTCTGGTAAGTAACAGAGACAAAGAACGGGCCTGGATCCTGTATGTTTTTCTTCAGATCTAAGAAATGGCCTGAGAGGAGTTCCCCTTGTGAGATGTACAAACATGTTGCTCCTTCCCTTCTGCCAGCAAAGCAGTCGGGAAACAGCTCCTCCTAGTGCTTCCAAGTCAGGTTTTCTGCTTCATTTGCAGCCTCCTCCCTCACAGGCAGGAGGCTGGCATGGGCAAAGAGCTTGCCCAACCCGAGAAGAAGGAAAAATGGAACAAAGCACACCACCAGAGAGAGCCGCTGTTTGGTACCAACTCTGTAAACACTTTTGCAAAATGCTAAAAATTAAACCATTTAAAGCCAGAGGTTTTAACACAAAGTTTCTTATGTGAAGACTTGAAAGGGATTCCCTGAAGCAGAGCCACAGTAACTGGCAAAAGGAAGTAAAGTAACTTCTCTGGTGGGTATGAGAAGTGGGAGAACACTGTACCCACCTACCTCAGAAGTGAGTAAACTGCTGATCTTTGCTTGCACGTCATTCTGCCCCTGGACAAAACTGATTGCATCTGCATTTTTAAATTAGTTTTACTCAGATCACCCAGGAGTTGTTAAGCATCTTTCCCATCACTAGAAGTGTTTTTCTTTTGCTTTTCTCAAAGCAGTGTGTGCAAAGTTTTCAGGTGTTTTTCCTTTCCAAACTCCTATTTCTGACCCTCTTCCACAAGAACATCTACATCTGTTCATCTCCAAACTCCATTCACCGCCTGATAACACCCAGCCAGGAAGGGCATGCAAGGGCAACAGTATTTCTGATTACATCCCATTTATCAAGCAAAGAAAATGACAGAAATGTTTCGTCCTCTCCTTTCTGACCTCCACCTTTTTAGTCTCAAAGGCAGTAAAACTAGTAAATGACAAGACCAGGTACAGAAAGTGATTTCCAGATACACAGGTTCAACTCTACCCACATCAACAGACTAACACTCCAAATGGCAGAACAGTTGGCTTTACTGAAGGTGTAGTATTTCAAACTTGTGTGATTTAAGGAGAAAAAAGTGAGGAATTTTTGCTCCCAAAGTCTCCCTGAGGCTGACTGCCCCTGGCAGTGGTGGTGACCTGCTGCAGGTCCTGCACTGGGAGGTTCATTGTCACAGCTTCTCTTCTGCAGCACAAGCCTCACCAAAAGCACTCAGACAACCATCGTGTGGCTGGCACGTGCTTCCACTGGAACATGACGAGACAATCACGCTTCGCTCCTCCCATGTCACCATGCAGTCATTTCAGAAAATGCACCAGAGTTACCACAGAGGATCACAAGATTCTACAGTGTCAGCACCCCATGTGGAACTGGAGAGCTGCTGAGTTCCAGTATCACCCTCCAGGCATGTGATCTTCCTCGTGAGTGATTCAGATGGCCACGAGGAATGGAAACTAAGAATTTTAGAAGAAAGGGACTTAAATGTGGTAATTTTACATGCATCTACCGTCAGGTAATCTGTAATCAAGAAACGAACTATAACATTACAAAGATATTTCTGCACACCCTTCTATCATCTCCCCCTGACAACAGAACATCCCCTTCAAGGGATGAAAAAGTCCTCACTCTTGTTTTTCTGGAAGTAAATGAGTGCTAGAAACACTGGTCTTCCCCCAAGGCTATTTCAGTGAGTGGAAATGTTCTGATTGGCCTTGGGTGAAGGTGCTGTTCCTTTAACTGGTATCAAGCTCTTCATTTAGAGAAACCACCAACCGCCAGGGCACAGGAGCATCAGACCCTGGTTCTGCCAGGCAAGTGTCAATGACAAATGAACACCCTTGCAGGGAGCCCCAGTGACCATAATACAAATCTGACAAGTGCCACTCACTTTCCTTATCCATTCTAAAGCCCTTCTAAATGAAATGGGTATTTTGGTAAATTAATTTTATCCAGAAGGAACTGAAAACCCCAAGAAAGAAAACAAGACAGAAAGTGCTCTAGGATGATGCTTTTTAATTGTTATTTTTATATCTTCAAAAAAAAATCAAACCATCAAAAAAATTATAGACATGTGCTGAAATTTCCTGTACAACAAATATGAAAACAATAAAATTTGTACATCATTTCAAGATATTCAGCAATCACTTATTTGAAACACATCAACTTTTCCCTTCTTAAGCAGGCCCCAAATGGGAAAAAAAGAGTAGAACAGAAATGCAGATGTAATTGCCACAAAGTGGAGCTTTCAGCCTGAAAAGTGGATAGCTTTAGACAAGCAACGAGAGAAAACACTGACCAAAGAGACAGATTTCAGCAATTGTAACACAGAGAACATCAGAAGGCAGTGAAAAGTTATTTGCAGGAACTCAAGTCATCTTGACCAAGACAGATCCACAAGGTAGTGGAACATTATCTGTAATCCTCCTCCTGCAGAGATATCCTATGAGGCACGTCCTACTTATTCACACTGACACTATGGCCAACTTCACTTTTACAATATTTTCCACCTATACCTGGGATCAGCAGGTCATTTACTTAAAACTTCAGTCTCTTCTCACAATGAGTCAAGTTTTGAGAAAACACATGCATACAGTTGTATTAAAAATGGATACTCATTAGATGATAAGTGAGAATTTGGCGCCTGCTTCCAACGTGAAAACAATGGGACAGATACATTTGTTTTCTGTAAGAGTATCTGGGCCGTGGTTAGGTAGAAACACATACCAGAACACACAGCTAGTTTTCTGATGTTCTGCTGAAATATAATGCAAACACATGATCTAGCAGAGAAGATTCATCTCCCTCTCTTCTGTGCTATACAAAACAAGGGCCTTCTGAAGCATGAGAGCATTCGCCACCCTAAGGCAGCAAGCTCTTGGGAGACCTGGAATAATAAGTACTGGCTCTGTGCTCTGCACAGATGTGCAGTAATTAAAAGATTAAGAGAGAAAAAACTAACATGACTGTAAGGGGTAGGCTTTCCTCCCTCCTGGTTCCTTTGGAATGGTTCTGTTTGGTCCAAGTGGTTTATCTTTGTCGTCTGACAGCAGCCTTGGAAGAATGCCAAGTGAGAGATCCACTATGTGGACTACCAGCTTGGATGGAGTTGGGCAGGATCATTAACTTTTTTTAAAAAATTATTTTCTTAAAGTATTAAAGAAAGCGAGAGAAAAAAATATTCAAGAATGCACAAGTAGCTGCTACCAAAAAAAATAGCTGAAGCGTACTGTGGTTTGTCGTCCAGTTCTGCTCACACAGCACACCACAATTTCACACCAGGTTGTAAAAAATTCCTCTGGATATCTGTAAAGTTACAGTTGTGCACCAAGAATTCCTGCGTTTTCCTTCAGTTGACAGTGGATTCTGCGAGGTTGACAGGTTCCACTGCAATGCCACATATACTCCTAGTTTCTGTAGCTATTTCTGACAACTCTGCTAAAACAAACAAAAAAACAAACCAAAACAAAACAACAACAACAACAAAAAGCAGCAGAATTCCAGGGACTCTGGTTATTAAACCTTCATAAGATTTTCACCACTTTATAGCTATGCTATAGCATTATTCATAAACTTCATATTCCTCTGCAATGCAACCAGTGCAATGATCCAAAGACCAAAAAACACCCTCCCCCCCAAGCTACTTAAGAAGTCCTTCATTGGTAATGCCTTCATAAGTCTAACAGTTATGTACCAGCAAAATAAATCCAGTCTAATCCCTGACTTGTAAAACCAGCAACTAAGGGTTTTCTGCTTTTGTTCTGTTTTTAAAAGGAACAGTTAAAACAACAGCAGCAGTATATTACAAATAACTGTAAAACAATTACATTAGATCAATGAGATGCAGGCAAGTAAGATGTGTCTCAGTTTTGAACGGCTAAAACCACCTAGAAATTGGTCTTTACAGCAGAATTTTGTGCAATTTGGTTTGGTAGAAACAGTAAAGCCAGTCAATCTGTTTGGGAGTGCTTGGACACTTGGAACCTTAGTTCAATATTTTCACAGATTTATATACTTGAGGAAGAAGAACAACAACAATGATAAAAAGACACCAACCTGAGTAAAACTCTATTAGAATAGAGTGATCATTATTCAGTAAATCATATATTGCACCTTTAAATAAATCATTATAAATTGTATAAAAACAGGAATATCAGCCAGGAATAGGGAGGAGCTCTTCTGTCCTTCATACACACCCACAAACACCCCTGCACACACATTCACATATTCACTTGCTCAGTTTTTTTACTACAATTAAAGCTCAGAGTGACAGACAACATTCCTTTTCCTCTAGCAGAGGCACCGAAACGTTAAGGCAGGGGATATTTGTGGTGAAATGCTAAAACAAAGCTCACCTCCAGACTTCTGGAGAGTCCTGCCAACAGTGCAACTCAACTACAGTTAAGTTTGACATAAGCCTTATTTAAAAATCTGTGTTCTCATTACAAGTTTCAGTACAAAAATAGAATCTCTGCTGGTTTTCTTCTAGAGTAGCAACTAGAAAAGGCACAATTTCCAAGTATAAATGTCCATTTGAAGGAGCTGTTTGAACTCCTTTTTTTAAATAAAAAGGAACACAAAAAAAAAAATCACAGAGGCACATATCTATTAGCTAAGTAACCAGATACAGTAGATAAAATATGTTCCTGAAACTTATAATTAAATATATTAAAACAGCCCACAAGCCTGGTGTGTCTGTAAATGAAATAATATAAAATTGTAATAAAATGCTTGTGTTATTATTTTAATATTTAAATTCTAGTTCACCGTTCATACTGTGAATGCTGTTTCACCTATCAGTACTGTTAAATTCCCAAGAAAAAGCAAGATTCCTCTGTTAACTTTAAATAGTTTTGCTTGGGTTTGTTGTGGGTTTGGTTTTTTTTTTAATATCAATCTGCAGCTCCTGCCAGCATTGTGTTTTTCCTCCTGTAGATCATGTCTTCAAATGCAGACAGAACTGGAGAAGCCAAGCGTGAGACACTGCACACAATCCCGGAAAACACGAGCAGAACATCCCCCTTTCCGCTGTGCAGGTAACACCTCCTGGAGACACCGTGTTCCTTCCAGGCTATGTGTGGTAGCCATTGGCCTTCCCGAAGCCTGACCCAGGTGTGAAATTTTCATAGATTGCCATTGCTGTCATGTTTTGGTAAATAAGATCGGCTTTCTTGTCTTTCTGGGATCTAATAATATCCATAACACACTGGTTTAGGAAGACGTACTGGTCCTGATGGGAAAAAAAGAGAGGGTAATACGTTTCTAGAAAATACCTGATTTTGGAAGTAATTCTGCTCCTGAATACAGGTTTTAGATGTACTACACTGAATGTTATCACAGAGTATTTTTTAGAAGTTGCATGTATAGTTCACAGAAAAAAAGGGCTGGAAAGCACCTCATGATATAATCTGATCAACCCCCCGTAAAAATCTAGAATCATATCATAGAATCATAGAACCATAGAATGGCCTGGGTTGAAAAGGACCATAGTGATCATCTAGTTTCAAACCCCCCCCCCCCATATAGGCAGGGCCGCCAACCACTAGACCAGGCTGCTCAGAGCCACATCCAGCCTGGCTCTGGGATCAAATTTACACCCTCTTAAAAGACTTTGAAGATAGAGATTTTACAGCCTTTTTTACACCAGTTCGAGTTAATCCACACAGCTTTTTGGATCAAAGTGATAATTCCAGCAAAAAAATATGTGCGGCAGAACACAGAGGAAAAGATGCACACTGAGACCACCTAACTCAAGATAATACTGGCTCACAGCTGTAAGGATAAAACTCACATGGATAAAACAAGCTGTAAAAAAAACTTTTTCAGGATTTGATTCTTTCCAGCTGCAGATGCCAGTCTTACAAAATACTCTATAAAGAGACTGCTTGGACATACTACAGCCCCTGGCTGCAACTACTGGTGTGGGAGGAGATGAATCAGGAAGGAGGGAAGTTAAATCAAGAGCAATTTCAGATTACTCTTTAATATCTCCCTGTAATTCTGAGCTACATCTTGAGTCCACCCTTCCTGGATTATTACGCACATTTGAACAACATGCTGCTGGATGAAAGAGCCCTACCTCAGTTTGCACCATTAACGGTCGGTGCATGCGAAGATCATACACCACTCCGTACACGTCCACAGTATTCTCCATGTCAATCTGCTGAATGAGGCGGTCAATAGCAATAAATGTCCCCGTCCTCCCGACACCAGCACTGCAATGACACGGGGAAGCTAGTTACTGCTTTTTCTCAACCGCCTGCTCACCAGTAGCCTGATGAAAAGCCAGTGAGGCTACTAAGATGCTTTCTGTTATTTCAGTGACATAGGTACTACAAGTCCGCAGTCCAGAGAAGTGGTTCTTACCATCAATAAGATGGAGGGAGGACACACTTCTGGGCTTCCCAGCCTTGCACATGCACAAGATTACATGTAAAAGCACTTGAAAAGGCAACTTTTTCAGCTAAATTTTGCAGGCTAGGAGAGACAGTCTGTTCTAACGAAATTTTATATCATGTACTTTGCTACCTACATAGCATTGCTGTGTTTCTGAACCACCAGGCAATGGTTTTAATTTTGCAGGGTGAATAAGTCCATGCTGTTAAGCAAAGAGACTTCTTTTCTAATGTTGTGGCTTTTTTTTTTTTTTAAATCACACTGAAAAATAATTGTTCTTAAAAAAGCCACAAGATAAAAGTGTGTCTCACACAAACACATTCTTCCTACCTGCAGTGCACCAGAACAGGAGAGTCTATTGGATTTTGACTGCTATACTCGTGAACAAGGTGTCTGAAGTTGATGAGAAGGTCTGTTGTTTCTGGCACTCCATGATCTGGCCAGGAGGTGAAATGGAACTGCCGCACTGTGTGGCTCTCTGGTGTGTTGGACTAGAGGAATCCACATAAGAAAAAAAAAAACAAAAAACAAACCAGCTTCAGAGGAGCAACAGTAGGGCTTCCTGCCCTATCTACTGGGCAAAGCAAAGCTTCATTAAAGACGCATGCTAGAAACTGTGCAGCAATTTGATCAATGCTATTTCAGTTTCCCTCTTCCGCTCTGATAGAGAATACTTGGAAATAATTTCCTTTGACTTTTCACTTTACTCCAAGATCATCTCTGCTGCATCATTACGTTTGTTGACAGAGATGTGGCTACTTGTTCATTCTAGCAGATATTGCAAATAACTGCAGAAGCACAAGTTTTGGTGCAAGTCTCAGAGAAACATGAGCTGCAGGATCACTGACGGGGCAATCAGTAATTCCCATTAGCAGGCTGGATTTTGCTGGCAGATCCCTTTCTGCGCTGGAGAGGGTCTTATAGACAACTCATTCCCACCTCTGGATATGTTACTAACACACTGCTGTGAGAAGCCAGGGCATATGAACAAACGCATATAAATAAATATCACTGAAATCTCATTGTCAGTAAGTAGTGTCAAAGATTTTAAATCAGACAGTTGGTAGAAAGCAGACCAATACAATCAAAGCCTCAAATTAAAATAAACCACTCTTATCCTTTCTCTTCAGATAACTGAATTTGATTAAGTTTTACTGAAATTATTACATTCTGTCACTCCAGTGTTGCTTGACATTTGAAGTCACAGTGATACGATAAACCACGTCTACAGATATTTATACACTAACAACCAAGCAATGGGGTACTCACCTTTTCTACAGTGAAGTCCCTTATTGTCCATTCTGGAAGGACAACCTCTGAGACCATTGTCACAATAATGTCACCATAGCTCTTGGATTGCTCGTCTGGCCAGTATTGTTCACATTTTGTCTAAAAGAGCATTACAAGGTTAGACACATTACACACAGCAACAAAGCAACTTACTTTTAGTTTTAAATAACACACCATCTGAAGCAGGGCTAGAAAGCACGTCACCCTTCCCAGTGGCCAATCCAAAACAGGAGAAGCTCTGCCAAAATAATTTTTTAGGGAGAAGAACCCACCCTTAAAGGTAGCGATTCCACAACCCTCCTGAGACAATCTATTGTGGCAGTCAGCATATATAAAAATGGGAAAAAGCTAAAAAAATTGGGCTTATTTAATTTAGAAAACAGTCTTCCAGTAAGTGGATGGTTTTAGAAGAAAGTGGTCAGCTTCCAACCTACTAGGAGTAACAACAAAATTAGAAGAGATCCAACCGTCTTCAACAGGAGATTCAGTTTTAATAAAACCATACCCGGCCTTGTTCAACACATTTTGTCAGCATAACAACGGAGTAGATATTCTTTTCCCAAATCATGCGCCAGAAATCTTCTACAGTATTGGGTAAAGGACCCTGTGCAGCAATAAATGCCTTCTTTGAGTTATAGCCCTAAGAGGAAAAAAAGAAAATATATATATATATATACACACACACACACACACTTGCATCAATGAGACATAAAAAGCCATTTTTAAACATCATTATGATTGTTAAGCCTGCATCATAAAAATACATGTTATATTTCATTTCAACTAATGAAGCAACTTACAGGCATATAATTTGCATTAATATAATCATCAGTTGGAGAGCTTTGATCTGAAAGTTTAACACGAGAAATATCATCTGCAGAAAGAAAAAAGGAAAATAAAATTATGAATTTTAGAACTAGAACCTTTTCAGCAAAATACTGTTTATCTAATACATAGTTTCTACACAAAAGGTGTTTTAGAACAGTGTGCATTTTAAGAATAAGAATATAGCTTTAGGAATCATAAATAGCAGTAGTTTAGAATTTTTATAATGAAAGACTTCAGAAAAATGAGTGGCCAAAATAAAAATTCTGACTAGTCAACACAGATTTTTTTTTTTTAAACATGGTTTGGTTTTGCATATTTATATATTTTTAAACCAACAAGAGATCTACTATAGTTTTAATTACTCAAGGAAAAACAGGTAATTTGTCTCCTGCTGCCATTGCAGCTGATGCTTTTCCTCCAAAGCATTCCCTAAGTACCCTTCACTGTTTGCCTTCCAGTTCCTTCTTACGTTCTGCTACCTTGGGGTGCCGGCAGACAGCTTGGCAGGGTTTAGGCTCTTAGTTCATCTGCAAAGCTGGCCAGCAGGGTCTTAATATTTCTCATAGCTCTGCACATCTGTCTGTCCATAGTCAACCATTAACCTCTTGTTTTTTCAATCTGCACTGCAAGTTTCTCACAAATGGAAAATTAAAATTATTTAATTAAGGAAAAGTTTTTTAAGGGAACTTTCTTGAGGGAAAGTTTAGGAACTTCAGGGAATATTCTTGAGGGAAAGCTTAGGAACTTCAGGGAACATTCTTGAGGGAAAGCTCTTTAGTGTTTATAGAGGGATTTTGGGCAAGCAGCAGCCCAAATTCATTCATTTGGAAATTGAAAACATTAATCCCTCTTTGAAACCTCTGTGTACTGCTAAAGCCAGATCAGCCAAACCCAAGGTTTTGCACCTAAAAACCTCAACCAGCAGAAGATGCAAAACTTAAGAGAGTAACTCACATGGTAAGACATTGTTGTATCTATTTTTTCCCCTGTTCTCAGCAAGCTCAGCAGCAAATTTGGGCTGATGAACACCAGCAGACTTGAGTTCCTACAATAAAAGAAGGATTCATGAGCACCTGGTCCTGGGCTAGGAATCATACAGAAACACAGGACTGAAACAAACACCCCAAGCACTCTTGGCCTTTGCTGTAAAAGTAGGCATGTTAAACTGGAATAAATGAGGATAAAAATCAGCTTTTTACCGAGTGGGAAGGTGACAGTGGCAAACTGGCTAGAGAAGAGATTGATACAGGATGTAGGAACAGCAGCATGCTTAAAACCCAGAGATGGGCTTTAACAGCCCAGGAACAGTTTTGCAGAAATACATGACACTGACAACTGCACACTCGTTCTGACCCCAAGGCAGTGAAGTACTTGACATAAGCTTTGCAGACATTACAGGGAGAAAGGGAGCAAGCACATCATGACAGGACTGAAGGAAGCAAAGTCTGAGAGGAATGCAAGGCAGAGCACCAGCCTGCAAAATGCCATAAAAGGGACAGAATTTGATCGGGAAAGAAAAAAAGTCAACTAATAGGTTCAAGGAGATGGAAAAAAAAAATATTCAACAGCAGCCATGACAACACAGAATCCTTACTGACACTTCATTTGTCTTTTGTACCTTATAAAAATCAAGCTTTAGTACATTTCATAGAAAAACAGTTACGGTCACTAAGCAAACCATAATTGCTGTTTCTCTGACTGCTCCTTCAAGCTATTCACAGGTTTGCAAATCACACTTATGCATTCAAGGAGTCAGTGATATTAACAAGACACCTGTCTTGCTGTGTAGAAAACCAAAAACAAGATAAAAAACCCAAAGTGCAGAGAAGTTAAGTAGCTCTTCCTAGGCTAACTCTGCAGGCTAACCAGGGCAAGGGCTCTGGAGATCCCACCTCTGGTGAGAGCTGCTGTAAGCTCACAGGTAGAGACAATGGTTCAGGAGGTGAAGTATTTATCATGCACTTAAACTAAATTTAGAGCTGAATCAGGGAAGGGAAGGCTATACATGCTGCTTAATAATCTCTATAATAAATATCCCTTTTCTTTTCCTTCAATAAGCCTTGCATACAAGTCATAGGAAAGCTAAATTGACTTTCCAAAGATATTTGTCATGAAGCTCTCTCCAGTGAGGGTGCGCATACCTCATACTCTTCAGCAAAACCACAGTTGGAGTCAGCTTGCTGCTTCTTAAAGTAGGACTCAAAGTTCTCCACTTTAATCATTTTTGATCTAAAATGAGAAAAGCCATGTATTGGTAACAGGTATTAAGTAAATAAAGCATTAATTCAGTTAATGTGTTAGAAACTGTGCTCTACTTACTTCTTGACTCTTCAGGGGAGGGTGAGGGGAAGAAAAAAAAGGTTGATTAGTCACATGCAGCTTTATTTTTCACTTTGTGAATCAAAAATAAAAGCATGACTGTTAGTAGCGCCACAAAACTGTTCATTTTCAGGTGATAGGATACCAAGCATAGCATTTAATTGATCTGTTAAACCGAGGAGAGAACAGCACATCCTTCAGGAGAAGGACATCACAAAAGGTGTCCATCAGCTGCTTTTATACTCCCATCAGATTGGCCCCATTCCCTGGTGTATTTATGTCAACTATCAAAGTCTACACGGGTGGGACTTCACAGGATGCTCCAGCCATGCCTTTCCATCAGCACAAGAATTTGTGCAAGAACCAATAATGTGACTCAATTGCACCACCTGTGACTTCCAATATATTGTGGCTACCCTCCCACAGACAGCTTTTAAAAACTCAACATTCTCAGAATTAACAGCTCAGCACAAAGTAGTCATAAAGCAAAGGAAAATTCAGGCCACAGTGCAGAATTTTTGCCTATGTGCACTCCATCAATAATTTGGAATGTTTCCTCAATGTGCACGGAAGCCTGCGTTTCACTAAAACATCCTGTTTTTCAAAACTACATTTGGTGTCTAATAGTGATTCATGAAACAATCACTCAAATCCCTGTGGCAGGTCTAGAAGTCTCAACCTGATTATTTTTAATCTGCAGGCTGGAGTCTTTAAATTCTGTGAGGAATTCATACTGCAAAATTTCATATAAAACTGCATAGAAAACAAGTATCACGGTTCAGACTAAATTTTGCAAATATCACTTGAGCTCAGAAAACAACGTGCAAAAGGATATGGACTTACTTAATTGGAGAAAAGGACACTTCAGTATTTCTTTTATCTTTCCTATAAGGCGAAAGAGAACAACACAATAGGTTCACAGTAGAATTTAATGGAATGCATATGAGATTTCTCACAACAGCTATTTCCTGTGCCTGTTCAGAACAATTTCTTTTAATACATCTCATTCTGTGCAAAAAGCCCTCCTGAGGCAAACCTTATACCTGGAGTAAGAATAAAATACCTCATCCTTCATGCGGTGATGCTATGCAGTGGGACTGTTTCTTTCTGTTGGAACCAGAGTACAACATATGAACACAAAGCATGTAGTGTGGTGGAATAAGTACATCTGGGGGATTTGCATCGCCAGCTAACACCTCAGAGGAATTGCTACTAATCCCAGAACCCCTACAGTAAGCGTTCAAGAGTGATGTGTCAGCGGTACTTCAATGAAAAGTGTTTTTAACTTTAAGGGAAACTCTTCTCATTATTGTCCACAGCTGTTGGCCACGCTTGTAAAAATAACAGCGGTTAATCAAAGAAACTACGAAAACTGGACTAAGGGCCCTACATCTAACTCTTTAGAAAGGACGTACTGCATGATCAGAAGCAGGAGAAAGCCTGTGTGGACTCTTACATCCCAGATTATTTGGAGATGGAAAACTGAGAGACCAGTTCAAACCTAGCTTCCGGAAACTCCAGAATGGAAGTTTCATGTGACAGGCCGTCAAGCAATTAAAAAGTGTGATTAATGGATAACTTAAAATAAAGCCATCTAAGATACAATTACGTATGTCTTTTACCACAATAATTTGTAATGTTTGCCCACTTCTGACTGAATTACTTCATCAGCACGCGTGAATTCAGGAGGGCTAATCAAAACAAATCTTAACTCATTAGTTTGTAACTATGGGCTTGAACAAAATCATTTAACTGGTTTGTAACAATCGATAACATACAAAAAAAGACTTAATAGAATGTATTTTAAAGCATCATGACAGAAGTGTATAAAACAGAAAGAGAGGCCTTTTTAGGAGAAAGATACAGAAGCAAAATACTGGTGTTCCTCATCACAAGAAATACAATAATGAACACACATTACCTTCTCTTTCTCCAGAATATGAAACCCCCTACAGTGACTACAGCCAGTATAGCTAAAAGGCATCCAATAACAGCTCCAGCGATAACACCTGATAAAAAGGAACAAGTATTGCTCATTACCAATTTGCCTCTTTAGTAATGATCTAACTCAGTCAACATGCTACAAGAAAACCTCACAAATGACACAGCACATTCCGCTCTACTATACTTCTTTTCTTTACTGTGTCCTTTGGCAGTACCAGTATTGAAAAGTCATTAAGTATAATAAACCAAGGACGATAAATTAGTAAAAAATTGGGATCAAAGTACCAGTATTTGCATGCCACTACAACTGCTTCTGATTTACCAGAACTGTTAGAACATGAGCTTTTTGCTACTTGTTTCTGTACCGAAGTCTCAGTGTGCCATCCAATCCCTTTCAGCATGCCATGAGTAGCACAGCTTTTGGTTACTTCCACAGTGGAAGTCATACATGGGAAAAAGAGGTCACCTGCGGAACTAGCAAGGTATGAATTTACAGAGCAGTGTCACTGCAAAACTAGAAAGAAACAGTCCATCCCAGAGAAACCAACAGGTGTTTTGCTGTTATGAAACCTGCCATAATTAAGGAATCTCCACACACTGTGTACGTGCCAAGCCACCAGTCCTATACTTGACATTAACTATACCTGGATCCTGGGGTAGCAAAACCGCCTCAGAACAGGGTGAAAACGATACGTAACTATCTTCCTCCTCAATGACGTTGGCCATAGTAAAGTTTATTTTTGTGAAACCTGCAACACTTGCCCTGTTGATAAGGGACAAGAAAAAACCCAGGTACATTACATGGTTTTAACAGACTTAAGCAAGATCTGTAACCTTTTCGTTAGACCATCTTTTAGATTTCAACTGCAGCAAAATGAACCAGACAGCCGTTTGAGATAAATACCTGTATGAACGAAGTGGAATCAGTGGTCCATTTTCGTAGCCATACACTTTGTTTCCCTTGCCCACATGAACGATGTTTGTACCATTCTCAGAACGGAAACAAGGTGATTTTGCCTGCTCTGTGTTTATGACACATGTTACATAGGTGACTGTTGTCATCTTGAAATCTTTGTATGTGTTGTTCAATTTAGACTTCAAAGACTCACAACCTTCAGGAAAAAACAAGGATATACGTAGTATACATCATCGCCTGATTCTGTATCAATCGGCACAGTGGCCGAGATGGAAATGACAGCATGTCACATTAACCACAGTTGTCATTACTCCAGAAATACTGCCTGAAATGAAAGGCCAAGTGCAACTATCTCTTCTACTGCAGTGCAGTCTAGTGAACTACCTCCCTATTCCCCTATGTTATTTGGATTAATCTCCTTTTAGTTTTACTTTTGCCATGTATAGTGGAGCTTCTCTGTAAAGGTACAGACACACTATCAACTACCATATGTAGAGAGCACAATGCAAACAGCGTAGAAAAAAATCCATTGGTACTTGGTAACATTGTGCTACCCAGACAGCATCAAGCCTCATTCAGGGTGACACTAAACTCATCCTGACTCATAATTCTTTGCTGTGTCTTACAAGAAGTCTCACACCCAAACCCTAAGAGACGGAAGAGTTAATTTCTGACTCCTCTTGACACAGACAAACATTGGACAAACCAGTGATCAGAACAGTTTCTCTTCCAGAAGACTAAGAATGGACTGCCACAGTTGAGGCACACATAACCTAAGAGATACTAAACAAGCTCAAGTCACCAGTTGTCCAACAACTCGAGCAAGAAAACTGATGTAAATATTCAAGCGTTGCAGGAGGAATAAAAATCTCTCTCATTCAACTGAAGTTTGCATACATTCCTTTCTACTGACTGCATTTAAAAAACTAAATGCTCCTTCGAAAAGCAGATATAGTGTTGAACTGACCTTTAAAAAGGAGAAGCTCAAGAAGAGCTCTCTCTTTTTTTTTCTTTTTAGTTGTAAGACCTTACTGCAGATATCTTCCATCTGAAGAAGGGAAGGAGAAAAAAAATCCCACATTCCAAACTGGCTTATATTAGTAGCTCTGAAAATTATTGGGGGGGGTGTGGGGTGTAGGGGTGTGAAGTGTGCAGGGCAGGGAAGAGGAAGGAAGGAAGGAAACTACACAATCTTGTGGCAGGAATCACTGGCAAATCAAGATGGCAACAGCACAGTGTCAATACATATGAGACTTGTACAAGGATAAGTCAGGCTGTAAAAGGCTGAGTGAAAACAGTGGCCTTCTGAAAAAGAAGGAGCGATCTGACTGCAAGCAAGCAAGGTATTTGCCTCATGATTTTGGAAGGGTGATTGAAAATACTGAGCTTTTTCTCTATCTATTTAACACCTAGAGTTTCAAATATAATGCTGTCTAATAAATTGCTTCACACAGCTAAAAGTCAATATCATAATATCTTACCTTGCTTTTCTGTTATGATCATTACTGCATAGGCTTTTAATGGTCCATGCACTGACTCAAAATCAGAGAATTCAACAGAAAACGAGCTGTGACTGACTGCCTTGACTACAGGAGCTTTGCTTGGAGCAGGTGGGTCTAGAAACAGAAATATTTTTTAGTACCTTAATGATTGATAAAGAAGAGTTCTCCAAACAAGAAAATGCTGTAATACCGATGCTGTTCATATGATGCATCTTTATTGTGCATCAGATTAGACTTGCATGAATGTAGTGTTTTATTCATAATCTGTAGGCTGATAACATACTGCATATCAAGTTTGGCATTCTGCTATCATGAAGCTAACACTTTGGTCCTATGGATATCTTTCATTCTTGAATCTTAACACTTACCAGTAATGCTTGTATTACACATTTGCTGCACTGGAAGGCTTTCAGAACTATTTGAAAGAGTTACAATAGTAACAGTATAGGTGCTGAAATAATCTAAAGATACTATTTCGCAAGTTTCTTCTGAGTCTCCTCTTGTGCAGGATGGAGTCTGTTCTTCTTTTTCCCATGTAGCATTAGATATTTTAATTTTGAAGCCAGAATTGTTGCCAGAAGGACATTCCCACTTCAGCATTAGGGAAGGCTGCTTGGCCACTGGTTCACATTGAAATAAATTCACTGAGGCAGGAACTGAAAAAAACAAAACAAAACAAACAAGTATTGTAGTAAATAGAAAAAGCTGTCTATTTGTAAATTCTATGTATAAATATTTGTAAAACTTCAGTATTCCTTTCCACTTTTAAAAAGATGAAGCTCCTGCCTACAAGGACTTGCTACCCTATGAGAAGAAGTATTTAGCACACTAAGTACACAGACCTCTTCTGTGTTAACTCCTCTGCAGACAGGTTTACTGAGAAAATTTAGGTTGAGTATCTGTCAAGATCAGCAAAGTTTTCAAAATACTGTTCAACTGCTGAACATACCACTCTACGAACACTTTTAGAGTAGCACGTGAATTGACACTAACTCCTTGTATCATTACATAAAAGTCTTAGCAGCCAACAAATAAGAAAATTAATATAAGCTCCATGCATTAAGAACACAGCAGTAGCTATCCTTAAGAGCAGCAACTATGACATGTCAGTTTGTGTGGAGAGTCCTATAGGACATTATATAGAAATTGCAACCTTACGACCAGATATAAAAGGATTGAAAAAGTTAATGTAGCAGTAACACTGAGAAGAAAGGTCGCTCTAAACCAAACATCCTATAAAACTTGGTATTTAAGACCAAAACTCTTATAACTTCTACAACTGTAGAACACAGCAAATTTATTTCCTCTCATGATAAAGAAATACTTGGGACTTCCAAATACAGGAGTAAAAGGCTGATGGATTGAATTATTTTGTTATTTAAAAGGGGCACTATTTTAAGAAACTTAAGGAGGAACAGAATTGTGTATCAGAAGAAACAGATTTAGTTCAAAGATAAATGTGAGTGACTGGGACTTATTTCTACTGCATTTTATAAATATTTGTTTTCCTTCAGTAACACTGTCAGCTACTCCTACAAGTATGGTGGACAGGGTTTATGTCTGGAGTAACAGCTCTGGTAACACTGGAGGTCTAGTTTCAAGACGAGGAACCATAAATTTCGATCTCTATCCTGTAAGTGCAGTTAGAAGAAATACTATTTGTGCTCCATGGGAAAAATCAGAGACCAGCATACTGTGCCCAGATATGGAAAACGGAGCTGGGCTCCATGAAAGTCACAAATATCTGCTGACAAACAGAGACTGAAAAAGCAGAGGCACAAGCACACTTCCACGTTTTGGACAGACTAAGCATTACAAGTAGCCAAGCAGCACTTTCACAGTACCAGAGACTCTCTTAACGAGTTAATCTTGGCACCTCTGGAAACCCCACTGAGGAGCTCTGGGACATATTCACTTCAGTTAAAACGTGATGAAACGAAGGAAAGAACACAGCAGCACATATTCACAACAAGGCGAAAAATGGTCACAATGCCTAGCATGAGGAACACAGGAGCACCTCAACCTTCTCTGCTGACAAGCTGAGCAGAGCAGCATGGCTGAGAGCCACACAGCCCAGTGCTGCCCACAGCCGAGCTGCAGCCAGGGACCTCTCCAACAGGGAAAGTCCTTGAGGCACAACACACTGTGTGGGAGGCCTTCAAAATAAGGACCGAGGGCCTCATCCACATAGAGGAGAAGGCAACAAAACCCACAGAATCCCCTTCCACACATTAACATTGCTGACTGAAGGCAGGCCATGTGCAGCACTTCTGCCTGAAACAATATTGGATTTCAGTCCTCGGGTGGGTAGGTAGAACCCTCCGCTGCACAGCAAAATACAACCCAGTGGAACAGGGCTACAAGAAACTGCAACTTACTTGTGTGCAGGCTCATGGACACCCCTTCTCCTTCTGTCTGACCATCAGCTGCCACTGCAAATACCGTGAAATTGTACATCGTCCCAGGGATTAACTCGGTAACTTCAACTTCGGTGTCACTGGATGTCAGGTTGCTAACAGACAAACCATTTACAACCTCTATCCTGTAGATGTAGGAGCGAGAAGCAATGTCGTTCACTGCCCACGTTAAGTTGACAGAAGTCACACCAACATATTCTGCCTTGAGATCATGGACTGGGCTGGGCTCTGTGAAAGACAAGAGAACAATCTGTTAACCTGCAAGAACATCTGTGCACATCCATAGACAGCAGAAACACAGGTAACACCACTGCTTCACTGTCCTGACATGACTCATTGTTCACAGTGCAGGAGCACTCCAGCAACATCACCAGATACGCATGGAGGCTTTTGCATCAATAGGCAGCTAAGAAAAAACTGGAAAAAAGTCATCTTAAGTGAGATTCATCTCCTTTTGACACTGCAAAGCAGAATCAGAGGTCATCACGGTGCCAGCACTCCCAGGATTTTGCTTGGGAATTCCTTGTGGTCAGGAAAGATATGAGGTTGCAGGGGAAGGTGGGGAAAGAAGATGGTGGTGTACCTGTGCACAGCAAAAGGTAAGGAACATCAAATATCACTAGAAGAGGAACAGAGGTGACGACCCAGCCACCCAGTTCCTTTGCCACGCTTCATGCTCTGAGCTCACTCCTGAGCTAGTGCTGCCTAAGCTCACTCTCCTGCTGCAGCCCAATGGCAGCCATGGGCCCCCAAATCATGGAAGTTCCCTTGACACAACACACTCTGTCAAGGAGCCCTTTAAAATAAGGGTCTGAGGCTCCCATCCTCTAAGAAGTGAAGGCTGCAAAAGTGCCCACACAAATCCCAGGCCAGGGAGGCAGGCTCTTGGGAAGAGTTCCTTCACTGCATCACAGGGCTTAGTGACCACCTTCAACAACTACTGTTTTTGAAGGAGTTTGTTTTACTTTGTTTTTAAAAAGAAGGCTATGTCCCTTCCCACAAATATCTCCGATTGCAAGCAGGCAAAGCACAGCACCTCTGTCTGCAACAGTCTTAAATTTCAGCCCTCAGGCAGGTAGGCACAACCTTGTGCTGCACAGCAAAATACAGCTCGGCAGGAACAGATGTGGAAGCAACTGGGACTTACTTGTATACAGGGTTATGGAAACCCCTTCTCCTTCCGTCTGACCATCAGCTGCTACTGCAAATACCGTGAAATTGTACATGGTCCCAGGGATTAACTCGGTAACTTCAACTTCGGGGACACTGGACGTCAGGTTGCTAACAGAGGAACCATTGACAACATCTATCCTGTACGTGTAGGAGTTAGAAGCAGCATTGTTCACTGCCCACGTTAAGTTAACAGAAGTCACACCAACATATTCTGCCTTGAGATCAAGAACTGGGCTGGGCTCTGTGGAAAGCAAGAGAACAATCTGTTAACCTGCAAGAACATCTGCACACATCCATGGACAGAAGAGACACAGGCACACCACTGCTTCACTGTCCTGACATCACTCATTGTTCAGAGTGCAGGAGCACTCCAGCAACATCACCAGATGCGCATGAAGGCTTGTGCACCAATGGCTGTGTAACAGAAAAATAAGAAAGAGGCATCTTAAGTGTGATTCATCTTCCTTTCATATTCAAAAGCAAGAGCACAAGGTCATCATTGTGCCAGCACTCCCAGGGTTTACACTGGCAATCCATAGAGGTGGGCAGCAAGGAGAAAAGAGTAGAGGGGAAAGACTTTGGTGCATCTCTGCACAGCAAAAGGTAAGGAACATCAAATATCACTGGAAGAGGAACAGGACCCACGAAACCCTGCTCCTTCTCCAACCCTCATGCCCTGAGCTCACTACCATGGCAGAGGCCATCTCCAAAACCCCTCTCTGCAGCACGCTGTTCTCTGTGCCTCTTCAAAACAGGGTGATTAGCCATTACAGTCAGGCAGCACAGGAGAGAATTTTGGGAAGTGTCTGGAAAGGTAGGAGCACACATGCAGGTAGATTTCAGACAACACAAATGACAAGTACAAGTATCTCTTTGCTTTCAAATACACCCTTGTGACTACAGCCTTGCAGGCCAGCTCCAGAATGGTCCCTGCAACACCACATGTAAAGACTTCTGATACTCAGCAAGGCAAGGTGCTGGATGGACAAAGCAGTTCCCCTGAACTAGCACTGCCTTAACCTCACTCTCCTGCTGCAGCTTATGTGCCCCCAAATCACAAAAATTCCCCTCATGCAATACGCTCTGTGTGAGATCCCCTTAAAATAAAGGACTTGAGGCCCCCCTACTCTAGAAAGTGAACAAATCCCCTTTCCTAAATTTAGAAGATGAAGGTTCTCAGGGTAAAAAAAAATCTCTTCTCTGTGTTGTCAGCCTTGGGGACAAACTTCACCAACAGCTTTCTATCAGGGAAATACTGCTTCTGCACTTTAACATCACACACCTGGCAGACTGACCATTTCCAGCCCCAGGACCAAAACATCACCTCTGCCTGCAACAGCACTAAATTAAAATCCTCAGGCAGTTAAGCAGAGTTCTGTGCTGCACAGGAACATACAGTCCACAAGAAACAGGGCTGCAAGAAAGTGTGACTTACCTGTATACAGGCTTATGGATGCCCCTTCTCCTTCTGTCTGACCATCAGCCGCTACTGCAAATACCGTGAAATTGTACATCGTCCCAGGGATTAACTCAGTAACTTCTGCTTTGGTGACACTGGATGTCAGGTTATTAACAGAGGAACCATTGACAACATCTATCCTGTATGTGTAGGCGTCAGAAGCAGTGTCGTTCACTGCCCATGTTAAGTTGACAGAAGCCACACCAACATATACTGCCTTGAGATCATGGACTGGGCTGGGCTCTGTGAAAGACAAGAGAACAATCTGTCAAGATGGAGAAATAAAGAAAGAAGAGCCACAGCCGCATAACCCTATTCCACACAGAACGAGCATTATTTGTAGTCAAGCAGCCCTTCTACAGTATCAATGCCCAGTTTCAGACATTCATGCTGGTGTCTCTGGAAAGGCCACAGGAGTTCTGGGGTTTATTCTCTTTATTTCATTTCACATGCTAAAATCATTTGTTTCCACAGTGAGTTTCCAGACAGAGAAACAGACAGAAATCAGGGAAGGAAGCAGACAGCAGGGTGATCTTGGTCCATTAACTCAAAATTGCGCCCACGAGTCTTAATCTGAGCCCTTCAGCCCAGCCTCTCCCCAACGTCAGCAGAAGGAAATGGGCTCCTTGAGCAGGTCCAACAGCTGACCCACGCTGAGTGGCTGTGTCTACAAGCCTCATTCAGCATCAACACCAGGCAGACAAGACTCGCCTCAGGCAGCTTAGACAAGCTCATCTACTCAGTAGCAGCTCCAGGACATGCTGTTTCTAAATGCTTTGTAGGGATGTTGCCTGTTCCCTTCCCACTCCTGACCTAGACAAAAAAAAAAAAAAAATCTTCTCCCATCTGTTCCTCTGGGAAAAAGGTACCACGGCACAAAGCTGACAAAAATGGCATCAAACTCAACAATGTGTCCATAGGCACTGCCACAGCCCACAGGGAACGGAAGGCCAGTGACTCTGCAAAGGACTCGGAACAACCTTCAAAACCAACAAGCCTCTGTGATCCTGACACCACATCCCTGCACACGTCCTTTGGTATAAGGTGTGATAACCGGCTCCCACAAGCATTGCAGGGCACCTGTTCAGCCCTCAAGTGACTAGTGAAAGTCACGCTGTTGTAGCAGCTGGATCTCTACATAGTTTGGAGCAGTCAAGCTGATTGAAATAACTGCTTCACAGGCAGCGTGCACACACACACAGACACATACAATTGCAGTCCTTTTCCCTTTTACCAAGGACCTCTCGGCACTCATGCTCTCAGGCATCTGGAGAAAAGCAACATTACAAGGAGAAATAGTACAAAGCTGGAAACCCAAGGTAAAGAAGCAGGACAATTTGGTACAAAGTGCATGTTTACGTGCAATTGTGAGGCACCATTTCCTTACTTGTATACAGGCTTATGGATACCCCTTCTCCTTCTGTCTGACCATCAGCTGCCACTGCAAATACCGTGAAATTGTACATCGTCCCAGGGATTAACTCGGTAACTTCAGCTTCGGTGACACTGGATGTCAGGTTATTAACAGAGGAACCATTTACAACCTCTATCCTGTACGTGTAGGAGTTGGAAGCAGCATCATTCACTGCCCATGTTAAGTTGTCAGAAGTCATGCCAACATATTCTGCCTTGAGATCATGGACTGGGCTGGGCTCTGTGAAAGACAAGAGAACAATCTGTTAACCTGCAAGAACATCTGCGCACATCCATGGACAGAAGAGACACAAGCACACCACTGCTTCACTCATTGTTCAGAGTGCAGGAGCTCTCCAACAACATCACCAGATGTGCATGGATACTTGTGCATCAATGGGCAGCTAAGAGAGAACTGAAGCAAAGTTATTCTGAGTGACATTCATCTCCCTCTGACACTGCAAAGCAGAAGCACAGGTCACCTCGGTGCCAGCACTCCCAGGGCCTTCCCTTGGGAATCTAGAGAGGTGGGCAGGAAAGGGATGAGTATGGTGGGGAAGGAAAGGGTTTGTTTTGGTTGGTTGGTTGCTTTTTGATTTTGTTGTTGTTGAAGGGGATTTTCGGTTTGGGGGGGGGGAAGGGGCAGGGAGGATGGAGAGGGTTTGGTGTTTTTTAAAAAAAAACAAAACAAAAACAAAAAAAAACCAACAACCAAACTCAGGGCTATATTTCTTCTACATACTAACACCACATTCTTAGTAGGCAGCCCAGGCAAGGCTTGTATTCTATTTCAACCCTCAGGCAGGTAGGCACAGCCCTGTGCTGCACAGCAAAATACTGCAGGAACAGGTGCGCAAGAAACTGTGACTTACTTGTATACAGGCTTATGGACACCCCTCCTCCTTCTGTCTGACCATCAGCTGCTACTGCAAATACCGTGAAATTGTACATCGTCCCAGGGATTAACTCGGTAACTTCAACTTCGGGGACACTGGATGTCAGGTTATTAACAGAGGAACCATTGACAACATCTATCCTGTACGTGTAGGAATCGGAAGCAGTGTCGTTCATTGCCCACGTTAAGCTGACAGAAGTCACGCCAACATATTCTGCCTTGAGATCATGGACTGGGCTAGGCTCTGTGGAAGGCAAGAGAACAATCTGTTAACCTGCAAGAACATCTGCGCACATCCATGGACAGAAGAGACACAGGCACACCACTGCTTCACTGTCCTGACATCACTCATTGTTCAGAGTGCAGGAGCACTCCAGCAACATCACCAGATGCGCATGGAGGCTTGTGCATCAATGGGCAGCTAAGACAGAACTGAAGAGAAGCCATTCCGAGTGGGATTCATCTCTCTCTGACACTGCACAGTAGAAGCACAGGCCACCACAGTGCCAGCACTCCCAGGGGTTCCCTTGGGAATCTGGAGAGGTGAGCAAGAAAGAGCAGAGCACACAGAGCACAATTTCAGTTGGAAGTGACCTATAACAATCATCTAGTCCAACTGCCTGACCACTTCAGGGCTGACCAAATGTTAAAGCATATTATTAAGGGCATTGTCCAAACGTCTCTTAAACACTGACAGGCATGGAGCATCAACCTCCTCTCTAGGAAGCTTGTTCCAGCATTTGACCACTCTCTCAGTAAAGAAATGTTTCCTGATGTCCAGTCTAAACCTCCTTTGGCACAGCTTTGAACCACTCCTACACATCCTGGCACTGGATCCCAGGGAGAAGAGCTCAGCACCTCCCTCTCCACGTCTCCTCCTCAGGAAGCTGTGCAGAGCAATGAGGTCGCCCCTCAGCCTCCTTTGCACCAAACTAGACAAATCCAGAGTCCTTAGCCGCTCCTCACAGGACATTCCTTCCAGCCCTTTCACCAGCTTGGCTGCCCTCCTCTGGATGCAGTTGAGTACCTTAACACCCTTCTTAAATTGTGGGGCTCAGAACCGCACACAGTACTCAGCGGTGAGGCTGCACCAATGCTAAATACAGCGGGACAATCACCTCTTTTTGACCAGCTCATTAGGCTGTGTTGGATGCACCCCAGGATATGGTTTGCACTCTGGGCTGCCAGGGCACACTGCTGACTTGTACTGAGCCTGCTGTCAACCAGCACCCCCAGATCCCACTCTGCAGGGATCTCCAGCCACTGCTCTCCCAGTTAATGCTTGTGGTCAGCATTACTCCATCCTAGACGTAGAATCCATTTGAACTTGTTAAATTTCATCCCATTAATCACAGCCCAGTGCTCCAATCCATCTAGATCCCTCTGCAAGGCCTCTTGTCCCTCAAGAGAGTCAACAGCACCTCCCAGTTTGGCATCATCAGCAAACTTGTTATTGGTGCATTCAAATTCTGCATCCACAAAGCTGATAACTATGTTGAACAGGACTGGCCCTAGAATTGAGCCCTGAGAGACACCGCTAGTGACTGGCCACCACCCAGATGTAGCCCTATTCACTACAACCCTTGGGGCCGTGCCCTTCAGCCAGTTCTTCACCCAGTGCACTGTGAACCTGCTCATCCCACAGCTGGACAACTTGTCTAGAAGGCCGCTGTGAGGGACAGTATCAAAAGCCGTACTGAAATCCAGAACAACTACATCCACAACCTTCCCTTCACCCATGAGGTGCATGACCCTATGGCAGAAGGATATCAGATTAGTTAAGCAGGACTTTCCCTTTGGGAACCCATGTTGACTGCGCCTGATGATTGCTTTGTTCTTTAAATGCCTTTCAATGGTACCCAGTATGATCTTCTCCATAATTTTTCTAGGAACTGAGGTTAGACTAACAGGCCTGTAATTCTCTGGGTCTTCTGTCATGCCCTTCTTGTAAATTGGAATAACATTGTCTAGCTTCCAGTCAGCAGACTGAACCCCCCCAGACTCTCAGGACCTTTGGTAGCTGATCAAGAGGGGTCCTGCCATAACATCTAGTAGTCCTTCAGTACTCCAGGATGAGTCCCATCAGGCCCCATGGACTTCTGATCATTCAGCTGACACAGCTGAATTCCAGTGTCCACAAATGGAAAGTCACTGCTGCCACACTCGTGGTCCTCCAACTCAGGACACCACACAGCCCAAGGTCTATTTGTATTATTAAAGACTAAAGCAAAAAAACCCATCAAATGCCTCTGCCTTTTCTTCCCCCTCATTAGGCAGGTGACCATCTTCAACAAGTATTGGTCCAATATTTTCTTTAGACCTCCCCTTGGTCTTAACATACTTTAAAAAGTATTTTTTCATCTCTGACACAACGCTGGCCAGTTTCAACTCTAATTGAGTTTTGACCTTTCACGTCTTCTCCCTGAATATATGAGCCACAGCTCTGTAATCTTCCTGCAAAGCCTGGCCTTGCTTCCAGAGATCACAAAATTTCCTTTTCCTCTTGAGCTCCACAAGGAGTTCCCTGTTCAGCCAAGCTGGTCTTCTGCCCAGTTCGCTTGACACATCGGAATTGCCTGCTCCTGTGCTTCTAAAACATGGTTCTTAAAGACTGACCAGCACCTGTGGACTCCTAAGCCCTCAAAAGCAGATTCCAGGGTACTCTGTTAAGTAGCTCCTTGAATAGCTTAAAGTTTGCTCTCTTGAAGTCCAGGGTAGCAACTTGTCCATCTTTTTTTCTTATTACACTGAAAAATTTAAACTCAACTGTTTCATGATCACTGTAGCCAAGACAGACACATCTCCCAGAGTCCTCCTCTATTCACACACAGCAAAACTAAGAGGGCATCTCTCCTAGTGGCTCACTGAGTACTTGTGACAAGAAGCTATCTCCCACATGAGGAGACGCGGATGGACCAGAATAAAGGTGGGTTTTGGCTGTCTGGGTTCGCTTTGGTTTTTTTTTCAAGCAGGGATATATCTCTTCCACACATTAAGACCCCATGCTTAGTAGACAGCCCAGATTAGGCTCCAGCATTAAAGCACCACATCTACAGACAGTAGTTTTATATTTCAGCCCTAAAGTAGGGAGGCAGAGCTCTGACCTGTGCAGCAGAACAGGGCTGCAACCAGCTGGGACTTACTTGTGTACAGGCTTATGGAAACCCCTTCTCCTTCCGTCTGACCATCAGCCGCTACTGCAAATACTGTGAAATTGTACATCGTCCCAGGGATTAACTCGGTAACTTCAGTGACACTGGACGTCAGGTTGCTAACAGGGGAACCATTTACAACCTCTATCCTGTACGTGTAGGAATCGGAGGCAGTGTCGTTCGCTGCCCACGTTAAGTTGACAGAAGTCACACCAACATATTCTGCCTTGAGATCAAGAACTGGGCTGGGCTCTGTGAAAGACAAGAGAACAATCTGTTAACCTGCAAGAACATCTGCGCACATCCATGAATGGAAGAGACACAGGCACACCACTGCTTCACTGTCCTGACATCACTCATTGTTCAGAGTGCAGGAGCACTCCAGCAACATCACCAGATGCGCATGGAGGCTTGTGCATCAATGGGCAGCTAAGACAGAACTGAAGAAAAGTCATCCTGAGTGGGATTCATCTCCCTTTGACACTGCAAAGCAGAAGCACAGGCACCACAGTGCCAGCACTCCCAGGGCTTTCCCTGGGGATTTAGAAAGGTGGGCAGGAAAGAGACAAGGATGGAGTGGAAGGCAGGGAAGGAAGATAATTAAAAACAGAAGAAAAACATCAGACCTATGTTTCTGCTGCACTCTAACATCCCATCCTTTGCATATAGGTAGGTAGAACCTTGAGCTACACAGCAAAATATAGGGCTGCAAGAAACTGTAACTTACTCGTATACATGATTATGGATGCCCCTTCTCCTTCTGTCTGATTATCAGCTGCTACTGCAAATACCGTGAAATTGTACATTGTCCCAGGGATTAACTCAGTAACTTCGGCTTTGTTGACACTGGACGTCAGCTTGCTAATGGAGCTACCATTTACAACCTCTATCCTGTATGTGTAGGAGTTGGAAGCAGTGTCGTTCACCATCCACGATAAGTTGATAGAAGTCACACCAACATATTCTGCCTTGAGATCAAGAACTAGTCTGGGCTCTGTGAAAGGCATGAAAAAAAAAAATCTTTTGACTTGCAAGAATATTTGCTGACAAACGCACAAAGCAGTCTTTTCCCCATCCTACCCAAACAACAGGTCTCTGTAAAACACTGATCAGTCTGGGAAAATAATCAAGCCATCCTTATATGTTGCAAGCCACACTTGCTAGCTCCGCAGTCTACTCTTCCTTTAACTCTTAAGTTTCACTTCATCTGAAGGAGTAAAACTGTCCAGGTGCAGCAGTGATACCATCCTGCCTCAGCTGTCAGCTTCATGCAGGGTGCTGAGAAGACTGCAACACACAACCTGCTGTTATGTTTTCCTAAACTGGCCACCCCAAAGAGAACAGCTTTTCTAGCTGCAGGATGCACACAGCTCTCCTCTAGATACGCGATACAGCACCCTCTACACTAGGTAGTGTGCTTCAGCTGTACTCTTTTATGTATGTATTTTAAATCTATATGTCACAGTATGTTTGAACTGTTGCAGCTGTAACCTAAAAAGCCATAATAAAATGGGAAGGGAGCCTGAGCCTAACAGTGATAAAACTATTTCAAGGCCACGTGACAACCACAGCGTTAACTGCACTCCCAGTCAGCTGTGCAGATACCTTTCTTTGGCTCATTCTCTATTCCAGTAAAGCAGCTGGATCCACGCCCCTGTGATACCCTTTGCACTCTGGACTAGAGTTCGGGCTTAAAATACTAACACAGCACAAAAGCAGAAAAAAACCACACTGAGGATTCACATTGGAAACCACTCACGTGTTACATTGTTCCCATCACTTATTGCCCTCTCTGGTGCTGCCACACTCCGGGGTGACCTTCCACGTCCATAGGTTTTGTTCCCATTTCCAGAGTTTAGTGATAAGTTATCATTACTACTGGTTCCCATTTCTGCAGTTACATTTTTTGAGCTGCAATCCTCAGTGCCTGAAAGAATGAATACAAAGCAGTAAGTACCTTAGCAAAAATTCTGGGTTTCTCATTTGCAAACGTAGAGCAATTTATAGATACCATGCACAGACCCCTGCCACTCCTGTCTTCCCAGTTTGTTCTCCTACAGAGATTTCACTGCACATTTCCCAGTTTTACCACTTTTAACTTCTGTCAAACAATTTGAATTAGATGAGGGGATTGCGACATTATTTTGGTCATTCACTGACTCTCCTCATGGTTTGGATGAAAGCTACCATGATCTGCTCTTTTTTTCAGCGCAGTTGTGTTTGAAAAGGATTGAACAAACTTGCAGCCACATTTCTGCATGTGAATCTTCCTCACGTATTATCAGAAGCTCGCTGCTTTACTCAACATGGCATAGCAATTTTGTCTCTTCCCTTCAGCACATGAGCAAAGAAGTTCTGGTATTCCCACAGTGTGTTCCCACAGGTAAGGAAGAGACATGCCGCGCCTACAGAAAACAACTGCAGGTTGGCACAGCACAGCCCAAAGTGCAGAGAGTTGATTCAGGCCCTGATTTTGCAGGCTGACTCATCACGTCTGATGTTCAGTATTAAGGCAGAACTCATCTGCAAGTACTTCTGGAAATTTTTGCCACATGAGAACTTGTCACCTTGGCAAGTACAGCAGTTGCTATACTGCCTTCAGAAAATCCTTAAAGCATCACTTTGGGTGTCTTTTCTTGCTTGGGGGTTTGTTTTGTATCGCCTTTGAGCGTATTTTCCAATCTCTCTAAGCACATTAAATCTGTACTTGACTCTACCAGCACTCTTTACAAACTGAAAGGCAACGGAATTAAAGTGCACGTTTATATCTTTAAATATCCTTAATTGCATCGCAGGAATTACAGTCACTAAAATAAGTAAGTTTACATTTTTGAATGCTATTTCTAAAAACTCTTTTCAGGAAGTTTTTTTTAAATACTTAGCTGACACTGTTTGATCTTTCTTAAAATAAATTAAGATAATGGGAGTTACATACAAAAGAAAATAAATTAAGTAACAGAAGGATACTTACAGGCAATTGTATATCTGACCTGAAAGACAAAAATAAAGAATAGAAATTACAACTTTAAAACTCCTGAAAGGTCAAATAAAATAATAACTGGCTTAATTAACACACAGAGGGAGGAAGAAAAAAAAGTCTATTGTTGTGCTCCAGACTTTTCAACCTGCAAAACAGATAGCTAAAAATCTACTGGCATAAAAATAACACCAAAAGTATACCAAACTATTACAGGGAAAAAAAAAAAAATCAAACATGCTGGTAAAATGTTAGTTTCCACTTCTTTTTTTAAACCAGTTTATTTTTTCACAAAACCAGCTTGCATAACATATGCTGATTATTTTGCACATATAAATGGTAGATAAAATGTTTGTTTCCACTTCTTTTTTTAAACCAAACAGTTTATTTTTTCACAAAACCAGCTTGCATAACATATGCTGATTATTTTGCACATATAAATGGTAGACTCAGCATGTCAGGTTTATGGTTCGACTGGATGATCTTGAAGGTCTTTTCCAAACTAAATGACTCTATGGTTTGATATAAATTTAAAAACAAAACTTACAAGATTTTAGTCAAAAGACACTTCAGTTAGCACCTTCGACACTATCCCACAAAAAGCAGCAGATGCAAATTAGGTCTTCTTTATTCGTAAGATATTTCTTTCACCCTATTACTGTATAAACTTTACTATTACTTCTCACAAAATAATATTTTGCATTTTCCAAAACAAACTCAGTGTTGTCGAAGTATAAAACCTTTGCTATATATTTTGAAAACTAGTCTGTGGATGTGTACATGCCCATAAAGTATTAGCAGCTGCCAGTTAACTGTAACCTGAACCCACTCTGCTTGTAGTACTGACAGGACACCACAATTCTGCTTTGAGTGTGTTTTTTAGTCTTTCAACTTAATGCTTCTACTTCCGAATATGCCATTTCTCCTCCTGTTCGTGTGCAAACTGGCCTGTAAATTGTTTTCTTCGTCTCCCTCCAGGTGGCAGCACAAAATGCTCCTAAAGGAGTGAAATAAAAGCCCCAGACTGAGGTCTGCAGGGCTTCAGAGGGAAACTCTGATTTCCTGAGACTCCTGTCGCCAGCTGACGCCAACCGACTGCAGCAGCCACGTTTGTCATGTAACAAACAGATGACTTCAGCAATTGTATCAGGGATTAAATACAACCCTTCACCTTGCAAAGCTGCACTCCACAAGGCAAAAACAAGCATGCAGAGATGTCCCACAGAGCGGCAGGTCCCCGGCGTGGTGCTGGAGATCCACGGGTCACAGTGCTTTGTGCCAGGGATGCCTGCAGGCAGGGGAGGTTTTTGCCCACTGGTTTTGGCATCGCGGGGGGTGCAGGCAGAGGCAGTCTCTACCATCACCTGCAGAAGGGCTAGTCCTCTGTTGGACCTTACACTGTGTTGCTCTGAGAAAATCCAGCCTCACTTTACACTGGATGGTGCCTTACACACACAAAGTGCCAAGCCTGCTGACTGCACAGGCTGACACGTTTATCTAAAGCACTTGAAATTGTCTCATTTTCTCTTTCCACCCTGTTTTCTTAGACAGTTTATTAGCTGTTTCTGTAATGCCATGAGCTAACTCAAAATAAACAGCTATATCACAACAACCCAATGCGCAGCCTGTATCCCAAACCACTCGCCCCCCAGGTCTCACGTTGCTGGTGCCACAAGTAGCTCCATCCGCAGTGGCTCCCCGCATCACAGTCATGGGCCCAAGCAGATGCACCATCAAAAGTAGTCCAAAGATACCATTAAATCATCTTCTTCTCCAGGTGAGAGACTACACAAACCATACCCCTCCAGCTTTACAGTAAGGGGAGATGCAGCAGAAGCAGGCTTCAAGTGGAGAGACCCCCTTTCAGCCTGTGACAGTCTTGATGCCACAACAAAAAGAGTTTGAGCATGCTTCCTAGGCAAAAAAACACTTGTAAGCATCCAAGAGCTGTCAGCCCTACTGACAACGCAGATGTCCTGCATCCAAGTGTGAGGCTCCTCCTCAACCTTTCTGAATATTTGAGAGCCCAGCCAAACTGCAAGGCTGTTAGGAAGTGAGGAAATGTTCATCTGCACTCAGGGCAAGAGCTTTTCTGTATTCTTTCATAAAGAAGTGGCCAAGGAAGAAGAGACTAAAGGAAAAAGCCACTCTTCGGGCAGGAAAACACTACCGTGCCATGTTCAGAGTAGAAGAAAGAGCTGCTGAATGATGAGCAAGAGGTGAGATTGCCTGAAAAGCAGGCTAATCTAAAAGCAAAGCCAAAAAGATGCTATGTTTAATAAGAAAGGTAAATCACAAAAAGAACAACAAAAACCTCAATGAGAAACTCCTTAGGACTAAGTCACAGTGATTTCTGCAGCCCTACAGACAAAACAGCAAAAGCCTGACGTTATTCACAACCTGTCCTTCAGTTACTTTCTCTTCTGTAAAACTGCCTGAAGATGAAGTTTCTTGTCTCCTTCTCCCCACATCCTGAGTTCAGGGGCACAGCATCCCTCCTGAGCACCGGGAGCACCCACTTCAGCAATACCCCCTCACAACAGCCCTCTGGCTTTCCAGAACCCTCTGTGCAAACTAAACTCAAAAAAAGCACATCTCATTGGCAGCAGACCGGCCTCCTTCTGAAACCCAAAACTGCGCAAAACAAATGATCCCATTCCCAAGCGTCAGCCTGCCTGACTCAGTCATTCCGTGCTGTATTTTTCAACACAAGCCATGAACTGAACTGTTCTCCGGCCTTATGTTATCAGTTAATGAGATGCTATTTATACAAAACATTTGTTTATTATTTGAGGACATTTGTGCTGAACACCTGATTCTCCTCGTGTTTGCATCAAATATATAAGGAGCTCTGCTTTTCTTTTCAATGACATGAATCCATATTATTCATGTATAGAGTCGGGTACATTTTTAACCAAAAAAAATGGAACTCAGTGTAGGGATGGAACATCCCTCCCCAAGAAAATACTCAACAGATCAAGAAAAGACAGCAAAATGCAAACACTGAACATTTCAGCTGAACAACAGGAGAGATGTGTGTGCACAAACTCATCACTGTCACCAGCTATGGCAAATGAATCTTTTCATGTGTCACACAGCCACACTTTGAGCCTGATCAAAGGCTGTATGTTCCAGAGAAGGTGAATAATTCATCTGCACTTGCACAAGGTCTGTCCTGCGCTCCTTATGTGTGAGGTTTATTATTGGCCAGGAGCTGGTGGTGTGCAGCAGATACAGCATTCAGCTCCATCCTCCTCAGGTGCACAGGGGGTCACGTAATCGAGGAATTACTATTATTAGCCTAACAGGTAATCTTACTGAGGAAGAAATAAGATGTGCTGCAGAAAAACATCTTCAAAAATACTGAGTGACTGAGAAGCCCAAGTTCTAAATTGTTAACACTTAGACTAAGATATTTTCAGGAGTAGGATTTAAAACATGCCTGCTGTACACAGGCATGGGGGGAGCCACGGGAGCTGGTCAGCAGTGGGGAAGACAGTAGTGCCTCCCCTTCTGCTGGCTGCAAGACTCTGTAGATTGGCTCTGCTGCCAAACTGCACCCTCTAACGAAGTTAGGGGTCCTGCACCAGGGGGAAAACCCTTGTCAACAGCAGCTCACCTGCCTGGGGTGCTCCGGTTTCCAAAACAACATGGTTTGGTTCATGTAAATACAAGGTTAAGAAGCTGGCTAAACAGCCAACGTGAGCAAATCAAAAAATCCTAACCAAAAAAACCCCTTAGCCACAAATCCTTTCTGAGAACAATACTTGAGGCTGCTGCTTACTACGTCTTGTGTTTTCCCCAGTGTGTGCCTTGTGACTCAGACGCAAAAAGCCAGGAAATTAATCCCATCCCTCTCAAATCTAATGATCTTTCACATGTGTACCTTCAAATTTTCTCTTCTCCACCCACCTACCTCTCAGGTGGGGAAGAGCTCCACAAAAACACCACCAGGATATCACAGTGGTCTCCAAATTCTTTCTCAACACCCTTTCACAAAAGCAATAGTATAATTAAGATCACTGTCCCAATAACCCTGGTCTGGCTTCCTTTTTTCTTCTACACACACCTACCACTAGTTGTCCCACACGTGTAACCACGGTCTTTAGGGCAAGCCACCACGCTGCAACCAGCATGAGGGTTTTAAGACTCCAGGCTTCACTTCACTGATTTTACCAGTCATCCCTGCTCAGCAACAAACATTAACCAGCAAAGACACAGTAACCCACCACTTGCAGACTGCTCTGTCACCTCTGATACTTCATACCCGCCACAGGTTTATTCAGAAAGCATTCCCACAGAAAGGTTTTATTCAAGGTCACACAAAGAAGTGAAAACTAATCCCTGGAACGCCACTGGGAAGCCCCACAAAGATGGATGGTGGATTGCCCAGGCGTTGCATGGACAGACTGACACAGCTTTCCAGTCCTTGCTGATTTTCTAGGATTTGTACAGCACTGACTGCTGTTCCAGCTGGGGACACCTTCCCACTTCACGGGGAGCATACAGTCTAAATCAGCAGGAGTGACACCTTCCCGCAGGAGACAAGGGTCTCGGAGACAGGATGGGGTCTAGACAGAGGTAATGTTTCTCTCTCTTGCAACCATCTCAGGGCTGTTTCACCTCATTAATTTCCACATTATGTCCAAATTAATGAAGTTTTGAGGCTTGCAGCACTGGGCAAGAAAAATGAGATCACCTGAACTGGGGCATAAAACTGTGTGCCTAAACCTGTATGTGCCCAGTTCAAGTAACATGCCTTCCTTCGCAATTTCTGGGGTTTGGAGTGAAAAAAAAAACATATGGGAAAATGAGCTAAAACACACTTGTGTAATATTTTGCTCTATTTTCTAAATTCTTCCTAAAATGTTGTAAGTCTTCAATTACATTGAAGCATTTAAGCAGATAACTTAAGCACAGACCGTTATACTGTTATACTATTGTAAAGCAAATAGAACTTCATACACAACTAAAGACATGCCAAGCCAAAAAAAAAAGTTTTCCCCTGTGTAT